GGCGGGAGCCGCGGTCCTGGCTCTGGTGCGACCCCGGTGCTCCTGCCGCTGAGGGCCAGCGGGCCTGTGGGGCGCGCCCGGAGGCAATGTCTGACTCCTGGGCTGCCCCTCTCGGGAGGCATTCGGTGGCGGTGTCAGGCTGGGTCTCCGCCATCTCGAGGCGTTCCTGGCCGTCGGGGCTTGTGAGGCTCGCTGTGGTGTGGCTGCGCGAAGGAGTCTGTAGCGGGCCGCTTGCCTCGGCTAGTTTGCGGAGCACATGGCAGCTGGGAGCTCCCCTACACCGTGCATCTCTTGCAGGCTTGGACACAAGGGGCATCCCTGTGTGTTAGGAAAGTGCCTGAGCTTGCTGTGGCTGCCTTGTTCCCCAGCTTTCTGCATGCAGGGAGGCACTTGCAAGAGGCTGAGAAGGAAAGAGAGCCACAGGTGGGAGAGGAGGTCTCACGTTGTTGATGACCAGAGATCCATTCTAGGACCTGGGAAGCACAATAACGGCTTGGCTTTGAAACGCTTTTCTGGAAACATTTCTAGCTTCTGAGGTCCTGGTGTATTACAAGAGGATTGAAAATGTTGGAGAATTAGTTGCCTTCTGGCTTGGCTGGAGTGCATTCAGGAGGGATTTCAGAAGGTCCGTGTAGGCCGCTAACAGGACACATGGATTGTTTTGTTGCTTGTTACTCCATGTTCTCTGCCCTGTGACACGTTTAAATTCTCAAAAGGCTTTTTTTGGGTATCTGTAGATGTTTGGGCTGTCTCCCTGAGTGTCAGAGTTGCCTCTGACTCTTGCCAGGGCACTCTTCTGGCAGCAAGTTCCACAGGTAAGTTTCTATTACTTGAAGTCTTCCTCTAATCTGTATGGAATGGTCTGATAGAGGTTGTCCTACTGACCTCCAGATACAGCGTGTAAATAGATGCAGCTGGTGGATTTTTACCTCTCTTCTGTCACTCATGGTGTGAATCTATTTTAATCCTTTCCCTTATGGCCTTAAGAATATAACGTAGATTGTATCTTTTATCAATGGCAATCTTTTCTGGTTTCTGGTCTTTCTTTCTGGCCTCATTTTTGTTTTGAGGTGGGCAAGAAAGCTGAGCTCAGGCCTAGGCTGCTGCGCTGGCCTCTGATATTATAAAGGGCTTGATGATTCTTTGTTTTCCAGAAACTGCTTATAGAAGTGTGTTTGCTGCCTTTTAAAAGCGCACCGCAGATCTTGAGGGAGCACCAGCAAAGACTATGCCAGCTCCTGAAATGGTGTGCAAGTTTCTAGCCGGTTCATAACTGACTCATTGAGTGTGGTTTGCAGACATCAGTCTTTTTCTGCTGTCTCTTTTATTATTTATTGTTCCTTAAATCAGCAGCTATTCTAGCTCTTCGAGGCCACAGAGAATCTGAACTTGTCCTTATTTGTCTCTTTTCTCTAAGGTCTGTATTCCTTCTTCTACAGCTGTGTTCTTTTTTACTTACTCCAACCAAACCCTGTCCTGCACAGGGTTTGGTGTAATATCCCTCTTATTCCACTCTGTCCCAGAATATGCCCTTTTCTGCCTTGTCTTCACCCATTTCCCACACAGCCTCAGGTTCACTGTTCACTGTAGTGTGTGCACTGCATACTGGTGAGCCTGACTGACCTGAACTACACTTAGCTTATCTGTCAAAAGCAGCAAAGACGAGGTGGTCAGGACATCAGGACTGCCTGTAGACCCATTGTAAACATTGCCTTGAGTTATAATTTGGACATAAGGTTTACATTCTTGTTCTTTTCTGACTTT